GGTATGTCATAACGAAGTCCTTTGCACAATTTTGTGGAAAAAAATTGGTCGTTATAATGAAATTTATGTTATAAAGGTGTTGTAAGCAAAATCGGCAAATGGAAAATAAATTACGTGAAATCAGCATTTTAAAATGTGAACCTTATGGGGGTGAAAACACTGAAACTGCAATCATGGTTTGCCGCGGCATCACAGCTGGATTGAATGAACTCAGACAATAACATTTTAAGTAGTTCCTAAAGGCGTATTTGCTCCATTTGTATTTGCACTCGCAGTTGTTGTGGGTATGAGTGAAGATGTCCCTCATCCCCATTGCACGGTGGCCCTGCAAAATATCCACTCACTCATTCCCTTCAACTGCTCTCATTCATGCTTGCTTGTACACACACATGCAGCCTTTTAATGGCCTAACCTCCCAAAACACTCTTTTCCTACTGTTGGGGGGGGGATCTGTGAATAATTCATCTCTCATCTCACCTTGAACACCGCTCTTCGGAATAAAGGAACGTTTTAAACAGCGACTCATAGATGCGCATGAAAGCTTAGCGCGCGCGCGCACACACACACACACACACGCACACACACACACACACACACAGGCTCACACTGCCTCCTCCTGACAATACGGCAGACAAACTTAGCAGCGAGTGGAGGCAGATGAGACTTCAAGTAAGACAGAAGTGCCTATAAAAAGTGCTTCTGCTGAGACAAGCCAGGCTGTCCACATGGCTCAGTCACAACAGTTCAGCAACCACATATTCAATCTGCTATCATGAGTGGAAAGGAGGAAATTGGCCCGTTCGGCCGATTCAAACAGCGTGTTCGCTGGCAGAAGAGTGGAAAGCGGGAGGGAGCGTTTAATGTCTCCTTGACACTTGAGTTGAATAAACATGATGCAAGTTTAGCATTGGAAAACATTTTGAAATTGGAAAGTGGATCAGAAGTTAATCAGCTAGCATGCAGTATATTGTTTCACACTATACAATATCTTTAACTAAATATCTTACTAAGCAAACTCAGCATAAGGTACACCAGCACAATTTAGCGAGAGCCAGTCGACCACCGGTACCAAAAAGTCAGGTTTGAACTGAAAGCAAAAAAAAAAACCCAACGTAATCAATACTGCAAGCGCCATCTGCTCTGACAAAATTATGAGGCAGGAGATGACTTTTACGTCATAAACTGATTGTCCGCAAACATCTGGCCCAGACTGCATTTTTGCTCTAGTACCATTCGTGTCCAAAAGTAGAGATGTTTTGCGCTTGTGTTCCCACGTAACTTGTCCATTATTGTACTGTCAGTTTCTGTTTGTAACGATTGTGTGTTTTCATCTCATCCTCCATCCCTCTAGTATAAATTATGTGCCGGCACACCAGGTGGATGAGCACCGTACCCGACTGCGTTTGCCCCCACTGGCATCCATCCTAGAAGACCCACCTTGCTCCCCCACACCGCCAGAACAATTGTCGGCCAGATCCCCTGTCCAGTGTAAAACCGCGGGTCCTGGTGTGACCGCAGGCAAAACCAGGTTCCCATTAGAAGACACAGCCATAGTCCCAAGTGTGAATCCAGATGCCGACTCGAGGTAATGTAAGCGCCACAGCTCCCAGCCTATTATTCATGCTCACCTAATCCCGACCTGGTGCAAGATAAACCTGTCTCGGCTTTATGACTTTATTGGACCGCAAGGCTACTGTTCTATCACATATTGATATGTTTGCTGCAGAGAGGCTATGAAATGTGCAGCTATACATTATGGGGAATGTAAATTCTTTAATGTGTTCACCTTAGGAATTTATGAGTGTAACGCATCACACAACTTCACTTTCCCAGCAGCCTCACTCGTGCTAATGCGCTGAGTTATTATCTGACACTTTAATTACCCCTACCCGTGAGTATGTTCAGTGCCAGTCTCCAGTCCATATTTTCTCCTTTCCATCCCTTTGTGGCTAATGTGCGTGTGTGTGTGTGTCTCTCTCTCTCTCTCTCTCTCTCTCTCTCTCTCTCTCTCTCTCTCTGTCTCTCTCTCTCTCTCTCTCTCTCTCTCTCTCTCTCTCTCTCTCTCACTTTCTCTATTCCTCTCACTCTCACCGCCTGCATGTTGAATCGCTTGAGTTATATTTAGCTTTTCGCTTATGGATCTCATTGCTGACTGTCAGCGAAAATGAATTGTTTCGCTTCTGTCTGTCCCCGCTTTCACTTCGTCTCCCTGACTCGTCCTCTCTCTCTCTCTCTCTCTCTCTCTCTCTCTCTCTCTCTCTCTCTCAATCCGACAGCCCGACCACCTCACCACCCCTACCTCGCTCCCATTTCTCTCTGCAGCCTTTTCTTCACTGCCATCTTTCAAGACTTTGTCTTTGCTTTATTTCGATCTCTTTCCCTCGGTCGGCTCTCTCGCTTCATTTTTCCTTCTCCTTCCTGTCTTTATCCTGTCCTCACGCTCTCCCTTTTGCATGCCCCCGCTCCCTATCAGCCCATTTGGAACTATTTGTTCAGCCTACTTCAGTGTGAGCTAACGGGCTATAGGCTCATGGTGCGCAAATAGCAACACCATCACTCACCTCAACAGGCTTAATACAACCCTCGACCGTTAAATATATTCATGAAAAAAAATCTTTCACACACACAAATATATTGCCTTACCGTGACCTCACTGGCTGAAAATTGAGTGTTTAAGGACTGTTTGAACCTAAAGTACTGTGGCCGCCATAGATACTTTTGAGCAGGACTCGGTTGGTGCTGCAGTTTCATATTTTTTTCCCCCGTAATGTTCTTAGTTTATCATTAATAAATAAAAAAGAACACCAGACCAGCAAAGGCCAAGGCAAAAATAAGCCTGATTTAGATCAGTACCAATTTGTAAACTTTCTTCATTTGCTTGAATTTTGTCAGTCGGATGAATACTTCTTCAATTATTTGACCCAAATTATGGTTTAGTCTTTAAACTTTATTCGATCACTTTTCATGTTCATTATTTGATATTGCTGTTCTATTGTTCTATGAGTGGTTAGAAGGATTGTTTTAATTCCTAAAAATGTGCTCGGGATGAGCTAATTGCATTTTTTAAATTTTTAAAAAAAAATCTGATTTATGTGGAAGCCTTTAAAATATGTATTATTACAAGTATTCTTTTTTTCAGTCTATCATAGAAATTTGTTGTAAACGCTCTTTCATTTCATTAACATTTCAGCTCTTAAAGTAACGATATTTTTCTCCTCAGCCAACAAAATCTCTACCTCACAAAAAGGGGGGAGGAAGACCCAGAGAGGGAAGAGAAAAAGGAGGAGAATGGTGTTGATGGTGAAGTCCTGATGAACTTGGATGCAAACGAGGAGGCAGAAGATCATCATTCTCGCACCCCTGTGTCTTGGGGCCAACCTAGAAGGTCAGTGATTTCTTGATGCTACTTCATGTATCTTCCCATTAATACGTATTCATATTTATGTAACACATTTTTTTTCTTTTTGTTTTGATTTTATTCACCTCTCTTAACTTCTATCCTTCAACGTGTCCAGGTCGTGTTCAAAGCACATTGTAGACGAAAGGCATATTACTAATGCTCATCTCAATCTGTTCTTGTGGTATTCATGATCGCATCCCGCTTGAATAAATCACATAACGTGTACTTTTGTGCGCTTTTGTGAGTCTCCCCTCGGCAGGTATGATATTCTATATTTTCGACTTAATCCGTAAGACTCAGCCCAAGGCGGCGAATACGGAAAGCTGAAAGAGCGAAAATAAATAGCCCTGGATTAATTGTCCCTCCTGCAAATGTTCACTGTACTGTTTCGAGCCAAATAGGCCTCTGTCAGGCAGACAGGAAAAATGCATTCACACCCTTCCCACACATGTTTGGCATTCTTGAGTGTTACCCTGAAAAATGTGTGTCAAGCCTTGAAAAATACTTTGATGTTTTATAAAGTGCTGGAAAGGTGAAATTACGTTTACAGTTACTCACTATCTGCCACTGATATTTGTTTTTAAGATGGAGTCATAAAATAAATTATTTGGGTCGGCCTATCGCGATAATTGCTAAAATAATAATGCATTGCAATAATAATGTCATTGTCAATTACTTATAAAAGCCTATATCCCAAGCTTCATCCAACCAGGTGAAACATGGACATTCTGAAGGAAATAAACAACATCTCATTTTTCTCTATCTCTACAAATGTGTGGATGTATGTGTTACTTGGAACAGGTTTAGCTTCTATTGCTGAGTTTCCAATTTCCATGATATTACATATGGGCATAAAACTAGAGTGCCTGAACATAAAAATGATCTTTTCCGTTCATGCACACCATTTCTTCTCCCTGGGCTATTACAAATGTGAATGTTATGGTTTGAAAAAAAATACTGCTCTTCAATTGTGAAAAAAAGAAGTATGTTCCTATTCATGGGGTTGAATTTGATCTCGGTAAAGGCAGATAAACTCTGGCAGGGTTCCCTGTCGTCAGTACAGCACCCTACTCTCGGTCACTGTACAATCCAATGGCGCATGTGTGTTTTACTTGCCTTACAGGGTGCAGCTTAATCGAGCTCCAGGCCAGTCCCTTGGTATTAGCATTATGGGAGGCAAAGGCATGGGCCAGAGGCTGAGTGGTGGTGAGATGATGAGGGGCATCTTCATCAAGTACATCAGCTCTGATAGCCCAGCAGCGCATAACAGCACCATCCAAATTGGGGACAGGATCTTGGAGGTATATGTGTGCGTGTGTGTGTGAGCGAGGTGACTTGCAGGCAGAGCGACAGAAAAAAAAAAATTGGGGTTAAAAAAAAAATGGAGAGAGAAGCTATAGCCACAAAAGATGGAAAGGAGAAAGTATGTCCTGCCACTGAATATTCCCGTGGGAAGTTTTTTTGTCAGGCTTGCCTCAAAGCACAGCTTGTACTTTGTAACCAGTCCTATTGAGGCATTTACTCTCTCATGCTTTTGAAAATGCAAATTAAAACAAACAAGATATGTTGGTCAAATGTCTTGATGTAGTAATAGACATATTGTTGGATTCAGTCGAAACAACGTCTTGAAGGCACATACAGCTCTAGTGTCGGAGCGCTGTAGAATGCGTAGCAGTAATTAAAGATGTGGCCCGTATTGATTGACAGCAATGGAGTGTTTATGGTCAAAGGTGTGCGGTGTGGACCTGAGTGATGCCAGCCATGAGCAGGCGGTGGAGGCTATCCGCAGGGCTGGAGACTGTGTGGACCTGCTGGTTCAGTCCAGACAGCAGGGAACACAGGTAGGCTGCAGCTTAAACCCATCACAAAACAGCAATAACTGCTTGCTTTTATTTATGTATTAAGAATTTAGCACACATTGTATCACAATTGAGTCCTTTCAGAACCCGGTTTGTTCATTTATCATTCCCTTTCCTACCTTCCTTTCTGTCTGTCTGTCTGTCTGTCTGTCTGTCTGTCTGTCTACTGTATCTATCGAGCTAGCTAGCTAGATACCTAGCTAGCACACACTCTCTCTCTCTCTCTCTCTCTCTCTCTCTAATAACCAAAATAATATGTCTCTCCTTTGTTTTGGTCTGAAGAAGCTAAGGAACATGAGGAAAAAGTTAAAATTTAATGAACATGTCTTTTACAAAACATTTCATGAAGCACCTTAGATTTCCTTAGACAAATGTGCATTTTACTTTTATCGTTCACATATATTCATTGCAACTGGTCCCACTGATTGTGCAAAGGCACAAAACTTTAACAATTGGTCGTGAAAAATAGAGTAATACATTTTAAGAATAAATGAGATTGATAAAGAAAGGAATTTAAAAAACATTTACACGTGCATATAAAATCTAAATGTAATCCCTGCCTACACCTTACAAACTAAGGAGAGTGCTATTAAATGTGTAAATGTGAGAGTGCTATTGATAGCGTCTGCTGTCATGGGTCTGTCTCAGTGACGGACTGAGGCTGCTGTTGTCTTCTTCTCTGATCAAAACAGTGTCCCTTGCGGATACTCAATGAATTCCACCTGATTAAAAATATTAATTCTGTGTAATAAATGCATTTTTTTCACTTTTACATTATCCTGCGGGCCTGATTGAACCTACTTGCGGGCCGGTTCCGACCCGCGGGCTGTATGTTTGACACCCCTGCTTTACATAATCATCTCGCGGGCCGGATTAAACTCATTTGCGGGCCGGATCCGGCCCGCGGGCCGTATGTTTGACACCACTGATCTAAACTATCAGACTGGCCCCCTGGCCCAGCCATCCACTACCCAACCAAACTGGACAGGCCATCTGATATAATTATGCTTGTGTGTGTTGTGTTTATTATTTTACTTTATGTTAACTGTTTTGTTAAGCACTTTGTTACAGCTGCCGCTGTTGTGAAAGCGTGATATAAATCAGCATGTATTGTATTGTATTGTGTTTTGTTTTTGTTTTTTTCCATAGTCCTCTTTGCTTTTCAACCATGAAAGAGCAACTCCAACCTTGCCATCCAACTCACATAACAGCCAGGTAAAAAACTCATTTTGTCAGGGCTGTGATGTTTGCCGTGTCTTTAAGATTTGAGGGTGGTGGGGGAAAAAAAGTTTGGAAAAGAGCTATTTTTATCTGCTTCTCAATCATAACTTTTCAAGGCAGGCCGTGATGTAATATTTCTTCTCCCACATTTTTGTTGGACTGTGGTGTCTTGGGACCGCTGTATATAGTGATGAGTCATTCACTCCTACGTGGCATTTCTTAGAAATGAAGATGCTTTGGCGGGATGTGGTGTTTTTTTTTTTTTTTTAATGGTGATGATGGATTTAGAGCTGGCATCTATGTGTCTCCCCTCATGATCATAGGAAGTGCAACATCTTACTGGTTTGTTCCTTAGTCTCCCCCCTACAAACCCATTCACTCCTACTCCATTTAAGGTTAGTACCTTGTTTCGTTGTGTGCATCCTTGGGGATAATCAGGATACTAAATAAAAGCAGCTCTGCATTAGCATCTGTGCCAAGCCAATTTTCCCCAAATTTTAATTAACGTACATATTTGTGGATAGAGCCCGTGTTGTTCAAAGTCCCTCATAGCTACCTTGTTTGTTCGAACCCTTTGTTTTCACTCTTTGATGGAGATTCATAACTCGCTAGAATAAACAGTGTGCTCTTTTGAAGTAAGTTTGCATGCATTTGTAAACGGTGTTCAAAAACTGATGCATGATTTTGGCCATCTTTCATGTTATTTATAGTCCGCGTTGAAATAGCACGCATTAATGCATCCCGGGCTTCAGTTTTTCTCCCACAAGCATTCTGAACAGGCCTCAGGAGTAGTCCAACTCATGCCTCAAGGATCCCCCGGGGCATCTCCAACAACCTGCTCAATAATGCAAAACCTCTCCCAAGGTGCCTCAGCAGACTTCCAATCGAGCAGGTCGGCGAAGCCCCGTGACTGTGAAGACACCAAGCATTGCAGCCTCTGATGATCAGGATGGCACTGGCAGAAGTAAGCAAACTTTACTAAGACCTTCTTCAAAAGGTTTACGGAACTAGAATTTAACACACACACGCATGACATGAACAGAAGTATTGGGACACATAGAGTTTGTACACGCGAATATTAAAGACTATTAAGATAGTAGTAGATTCAAATTTATTAAGAAACTTTTCAGATGGAACCAGCATTCCTGGAATATTTAAATATGATACTCCGATACTCCGGCCTTTTACATTTGTATTTGTAAATGTTGCATGCATTTCATCCACAGAGTTGCACATCAATACTATGGTTAAATACAAACAAAACTAAATACTTGTACCCTTACTTAACTCTTCTCAAGCATCAAAATGTTTTTTGTTTTTTTTAATTTCGAAGCGAGTGCAAGCAGCTACAGTAAAATCAGGAAAACGAGACACTTTGCTAAAGAACAACAATAAATACTTTCATATGTGTTGCTTTGCTTCACTTGTCTGTAAAATTTGAACATATGAAAGTGTTCTTGAAAAAATAAATAAATAAAAAAAAGAACTAAAAATAAATGATCCACATTGCATTGCATTCTTCTGTAGTATTTTTGATGAAATGCTCCCAAACTTTCAACGCTCCGTTGCCAGGTAGCCGTACCTCTCCCATGTGTGTCAAAGACAGAAAAGACGCAGGCAGTTTTGAGAATAAACATCAGTTATTAAATTAATGTTGACAATTTTAACCATCAACGTAATCGTGACTAGTTGACTAATCTTGGCAGCTCTAGTCAGTCTTGTGGCCAGTTTTCAAATGTTCTCTTGATGCGAGTTATCCCTTTGACCAAGGATTGAAACCTTTTGAATGTTTGAATCAATGTCCCCGAGCAACAATCACGCACTTAGTGAAACTTTGTCAATTGTATTCATTAAAATATCATAAAGCCTCAATAAATCCACAAATAAATGACCGTCCCCTCTCCTGTGTCTCGTACGTACGTGACTATGATTACACTGATGAAGTGGACGATGCACATCTCTCACGCACACATTTGTCATCCTGGATATGTGCACTCGGTATTGAACATAGTCATCCCTCAGCATTCTGACAGCGCGTCTGACATCATCCCCTCCAGACAAATTGCTGCAACACACACCCACGCAAGCCCCTCTGGAGTGTGCCGCTTGCGCTCCACATGAAGTGTCACTCATTACCTCCAGCATGCTTTACTTTTTGAGGTTCACCTTATCGTCTACTCTTCTCCTCCGAACAATCACTTTTTTTTTTTTTTTTTTTTGCTAACACTGTCTCTCTCCACTTTTCAGAAAAGATGTTGCAGCGTTATGGCGCCCTGTCAGGGAAGCTTCATATGATTGAGTTGGAGAAGCGCACGGCAGAACATGGTTTGGGAATCCGCCTTGCAGGGAATAAGGATGACTTCAGGGCCCGCATGAGCGTCTACGTGGCGGATATAGACCCTCGAGGACCTGCCGGCTTAGATGGGCGAATACGGGTTGGGGATGAGTTACTAGAGGTAAGAAGGACATGGAATGGGGATGGTGGGATGAGAAAGAGAGCAAACACTTAGGTGGAAAACGTATTTATTCCAGGACTCCGGTCAATGTTTGATTTGTTTGGCTTTTCGGTTTCATGAGATTCAGTGATGTTGCCGTCTTGTATGTACTGGAGACATGTAAGACAGCAATCCATCTTTTGCATCAAACAAACAAAAAACAAAGTGCGTAAGAGTAATTCCACAAAAGCTCTGAATTGACGCTCTGTCATATTGTACGTGATATGCGGGCATCTCGTGTGATGTCATGAAATGAAGAAAGAAACACAAAATAATTTTTCACAACATTTCAGATTTGTAGAAGCGTTTCCACTGCACAGGTCTCAAAGATGAGAGCAGCAAAAATGGAAACAAGATTTCATGAAGAAAAATGACCTCTTGAAGGATTGCTAGTGCCATTTGGAATTCTTGCAGTGACTGATGAAGGAACAGGGAGGAGTTGGGGACAAATGTGTAGGAAGGGAATGATTGACAGGAAACAGGAGAAGATGACAGAAATCAGATTCATGTGGTGATGGATGGGATAAAGTGCACCACTGGCTGTTTTGATTTATAGATCAACGGTCAGATCTTGTATGGACGCAGTCATCAGAACGCCTCCACCATCATCGATAATACTCCCTCTAAAGTCAAGATCATTCTCATCAGGTGACACCACACAAAGCCTTTCTCAGCCACATACAGGATAAATTCCAACGACCACATTAGATTGTACTGTATGTTGTTTCCACAGAAATAAAACAGCGACCGAAATTCCCCAGAGCCGCTGCACAATGGTGGGTGATGACACTCAAAGCAGCCAGACTGACTCAGAAGCTCATAAACAAATCTCTACAGATGTCCAGAACATCATCCAGGTATGGTTACTTAGTCATTGTACTTAATTTTTTTTCAAACACAATATATTCCATCAGCATTTCTTTAATATAACCAGAACATAAACCATTCAGCACTTTATAGACCAGTAGCAGAAATCTAAAATGTATCCTACAGCTGACTATGTGCCAGAGTAAAGCTTTTAGGACAGAAGCCAGATTTTGTGAAATGCTTGTCAACTGTAAAAATCATGGCAATAAAAGGGTTCTTCCCAAAATAGCTCACTACTTGGAACTAGAACCTTAATGGCACCACCTAACCCGTGGACCTGTAGCATTCAGTGGATCCATCAGTCGGTAAAGAGCTCTTTTCAACCTTCGAGCCACCATATTTCTAAGTGAGCCAAACAAAACAAAAATGGGACTGCAGAGAAACCCTAATCGCATTTGTTTGTGGCATTGCACATCACTATAACCATTTCCATATTTACATTATGTAAACATCACACTGGGAAGGAAAATCATTACCTTAGTCCAGACCTCAGGGACCTTATTGCTGGCTGCTGCTGTGACCGAGGGGGGTGGGCGGGGGGGGGGGGGGGGGTT